GGTTGCCCATGACATGCCTACATGGGACCGAAGTGGGCAGCACTGATGGGCCCCATATGACTGCCCATCTCGGACCCTTATGGGTCCCAGTTGAACATGCTGGCTGGGCCAGTCTGAACCAAGTCAAATGAAAAATGGAACAACTGAGTCACGAGCTGAATCAGATTCCATAATCTGTGAGCCAGTCCGGAGCTGACTCGACACATTTAAGTCAACCAACTCTGATGCTAACCACATCTCGAGACTAGTATCCTTTTCTCCGCAATGCCAGGATACCAATCTTTCCTAAGGCTCCGTAGTCCAAAATACATCAAAATCATACTCAGCCGGTAGGTAACACTCTCCTGTAAATTCATGGGCGTAGGAACAGAGGGGAGGGGGGGGGGGGCAGGAGGCCATGGCCCCCCACTTTGAAAAGTGGGGGGCAGCATTGTTAGCTGCCCCCCTCACACTTTTAAGATTAAGGCCGCGTTTGGCTTACTTTTGCACCACACTTAAATATACATGACGATTTACCTAGTTCACCAGCCATATTCCTCAAGATGCGTCATCTTTTTCGTTTGCTTATTGGCCATCGCTTGGTGTCACAGCCGCAGGCCGACGCCACGCGGCCTATGGAGACTGCAACGCCGGGCGTTCAGCCTGCTGTTGCTATGACCTGTGAGCATGTATGATCAAAACCATTTTACACAGTGTTTTATCCGTAAACAGTTTTGACTGAATCTTGAACATTTAAGACGAACGTGGATTAGCCATGTCAATGCAAGCTTAGGACCCCATTTCATCTACAACGTATGTTCAGGGATTTCTCAATATATCTGAAGAAAACAGAGAAGCATGGAACTGGAGCCTGTCTGACAATTATTGGACCACATTTGGCGATCACGGATGTGGTCGCGTAAATGAGGGTTCCTGTGCTGATCCGGGACCAACTGCGCGGGTCAGAAGGCCTGTGCAATGTGATATGATATATCCCGTCAATGGCCTCCGAATCGACCAGGAGATCCCGCCCTGTGTCGCTAGAATGACAGCCAGAAGATGCTTTGCGATGGGACGGAATCGCCCTTCAGCTCTTGACCGGAACCGTTAATGTGTCCTTGGTGTTCTACTCAAAGCATACCTTGCCCGGAAGGAATAAGGGGCTTCGTTATTGTTGAGTAGGGTAGATGTTTCATTATTGTTGAATAGAGTAGGTGGAAAGGAATTTAAAAAAAAACAGCAAGGCCATCCCATGTTTGCGTAAGAACGTTCAGTTTTCAGAATGGATCAATGAAAAAGTGCATCAAAAGGTTTGAACATACCTACCCGCAACATCGACAGCGAGGACAGCGATGGTCTGGGTCGCAGCTTCCGTAAAACCGAACGGCGTCGGCCACTGGAAGTGCCCCAGACGGTGGGCGCTGTGCTAATCTGTTCTCTGGGCAGATGAATAGTTACAAAAACACGAAAAATAGCAAATCTTCTTATGCTCCTCCAGTTCCACCGCCAGATTCTAGCACCACTTCGCGGTGCTTTAAGGGTCAATCTGTTCCTATCATCAGTCTAAAAATCGCACACGTGAAATATGCGCCCAGACTGCCTTCTAAATGTAAGATTTGCTGTCATGAAGCGTTCAAAGATACTTCTTTCAGAAGCGTCATCATTTGCGTCCACCCGTTGGCCACAGCTCAGCATTAGTTGTTGGGCCGACGCTGCGCGGCCTACGGAGACTGCCACACCTGGCACCGATGTTTTTGTCTCTAAGATTTGCGAGTATGCATGCTGAGAATTATGTTACCTAGCTTTCTTAGTAACCAATTGAAGTGTTTAAAGGTAACTCGATCTACAATCAAAATTTTTACGCTCAAATTTCGATCAAACATATCAATATACGATCTACTTTCGCCATGTCCTCAATGTTTGTAGAGCGCAGTAAAACATTATGGAAAAAGCTTCTGAATTCCGTCGGCTTAAAAAAAGTTCACTAAGCCATGGCAAATTAAGGACACCGGTGATTTGTTCAATGCAGTCGTTAAACGCCTGATTTCTGCAGTTTATTGACCTAACCACACGCTCGGGTGGGGGGTCAAATTGACTCGCTCCCCGTAGGCTTTTCCAGAATGGTCTCCGAAAGGCGCGGTACAGCCCCGCCATGTTTTGCATAGTTGTAGAAAATTGAATAGCGGATCATTTGGTATCAACAATTTAGATTTATCTTGCAGGGTCGCTAACCTATGGCAGGTCAAAGTCAGGCCATGGTTTCAGCGAAGTCAGCTTCTAGGAAATCGTTCAATCTGATGCAACAAGGAAGTGTTACACGAAACCATACATCTCCGAGATGTTTTCTTAGGCAAACAGAAATATTGAATGAGAAAATAACGTTGACCGAAGGTCAGGTATAAAGGTCAGACCAAGGTCAAAATCAACCTGTTTTATTACTCTAGAGCTTGCTGTTGTGTGGAACAGTTTCTGGTGCTCATTTTGAATTTATTGATAGCAGGAACCGCATTATATATCTTACATGGACTTCTCAGAGGTCAGAATAGGCTATTGACCTAAAATAACCTAGGTCAACATTTTGTTTTCTAAAACTTACCACCTAGCGTGACCTTTGTCGCTTATTCAAGTGACAAGCTCAAAGCAATCGTGTATGATGCTGGTCACCATTATATTTAAAGGGTCAACCAAGGTCATTAACCTTAGATGAACATGAGACCTTTTGCTTAGAAACAGTTATCTAGGTTTTGAGGCACGTTAGAGACCAGCCTGGAGTTTGACTGTTTGGCCTTATTTGACAAGAAAGTCATAGCCTAGGAACCTCAAACTTTGACCTAAGTGAGTTCACATACTGGTCCACACCCACTATGAATCTGGTGTTTTTAGCTCTCTTAGTTCCCGAGAACTCAGGGCGGTCAGGGGGGTCAAATTAACTCCCCACCCGAGCAAACGGTATCTGGCCGGCCATCCGGGCGCGTGTTAAAAATGTAAACTGAATTGATTTCACGGTACCTTCTGGTTTCTGTTCTGGTTACAACGTAAAAATTTGCAATGAAACAAAGAAAACCGTATTCCTCGTTAACAAGTAAACTATATCCGGGATATCTTTTTGTGGGGAGGGGGGGGGAAGTCACCATAAAGGAGGCTTAAGTCAACCCTTTGTTCCCCTTAGCAAGGCCCTGGCTGCCCCCTGCCTACACACAAAAGCAGATCGAGTCATCTTCGTTGAATGACGGGCAATTAAATGTCCGTTGGGTCAATTCATATATAGTATAAAGTAGATAAATGGGCAGCTTCCCGGCAGCATTTTTCTGGGGTGGTGTGGTGTAAGGAAAGATCATTCAGAAAAAGGTGCTAACGCAGGCGTCCAGCACATCTTTTAAATTCCGATTAGTAGCAATGCTGCTCCAGAAATGTGCAACAAAGCAGCCATACCGCCAGTTCGCGGTCAGTCATTCGGAGACAGCCGGGCCAGGACAATGGCCACCGACGGCGGATGGGAGCAGAGCTCAATGAATATATGACAGAATGGCCTTCATTCTGTAGCTTGGCTTTCAAAAGAGGATCTCAAGTTCTAAGGCTTTTGTCACACGGTCTTTGGCAGTTTCAAGCTTCCGAATTGTATCCACCTAAAATGCCGGGACAAATCTTATCTTTTGAAAAGCAGCCAGCAAAATGAAGGCGCATGCAAAATCAGCTGTACTGTGAGCGATCGATTCACGTTCAAAACTCTCACAGGCGTATGCTCAGGCCATATTCTGGCATCTACCTTGTGGAGACGGATGCCTACTCATTGACCCGAAATGCCTACCGGCTCGTCGCATTTCGGCTCCCCAGGAAAGATGACGTTGAAATGAACGAATAATCTTGGGAAGCTGGATAGCCTTATTTCCCGAATGACATATGAGTCGTAAAGGCAAGAGTGTGCATCAATGAGAAACAGCTCTAGACGCAAATCTAGAATAGTAGTCATTACATCTGAATAAAGAGAGATAACCTCCTTCTTTACCCTCCCCCCCCCCCCCCCCGGTCGTCGGGCTTATTTTCCAGAAAAAGTTTCTGAAGAACGCCCCGAGCTTGGCCCCCTCCACTTTTTGAAACGTTCATACGCTTTTGTGTAAAGTACGTGCAAGAATTTATCCAGGCACGTTTCCTGACCGTTTCCCCATGCTCCCCACATACCACCAACCGACGGACCTTGCGTCGTCCAACTCGTATCCAAATGGGAATTGGATCCCAAAATCGTGAAAGTTATCCACTCCCATCGAACGAAAACAAATTCAGAATGCCCACCTCTCAACAGCCTCATTTCCTAGTGTCTAGGCGCACTAAACCTCGCCGATGTTGGCAAAAATCGGTACTAAACACTCTTCCCCGCTTAGCAAGAATTCGTACTAAATATTCTCGATGATGTGTTGAGCCACTTTGTAAGATGTGTGCTTAGTAGTTGTCAAAAGAGGGTAATATGAGTGGCGTCATGATTGATGATTAGACACATATTAAGGAGACATGTGCCTGGATCCGAAGGCCAGATGCAGAGTCCCATAGTATCCCATGTTCATAGTATGCTGGGATCTTTCGGAGAGCTTCTGGCGCGTGCCTGCTGACTGCTTGTATGTAATCAGTCCTCTGTTGGTAATCGGAATCACAGATTATGGGGACAATCATGAATATTTGGAAGCAGATAAGCATGATTTGAGCTGACCCTGATCCTAACCAACTGTATGTGTGCCATGCCCAGGATGAGAACATGTGTTTACATGTGTGTTACAATTTTTGGTTATTAAAGCCACACCCACATTTTGTTTGTAGCATAACTTAGATGCACACTGTTTTTAGTGAAGCACTTTGTATGTATCAAAATCAAGGTTTCCCAAAGAATGTTCAGTGATGCTTTTTAGGAGGGGGCTTACCAGCTCTTTTAGTTCCCTTACTCCAGTCCTGTTGCCAGAATCCAGCTTATGGCCCAAAGGAGTGTGTGCAGACCAATGCATGCATTTCCTTTGGGGTTTATACATTTGTTGCTTTATTATTTAAACCAGGTATGACCAAGATGGAAATCTGGACAAAGTCAGTATGAGAAGGATGATTATAGGCTTGTGGCAGCTGTTAGACCTATGAAGTTTAAATAAAGTGCTTGACATTCTGTTTTGTTACAAGCTCTTGCTGCTGCTGGTAAATGGCTCCAAATAGAGTTGAAAAATTGAAAGACAGAATTGAAAAGGTATGTGTACAATGACTGACTGTTAGCACTAGTGACATGACAATGACTGCATAGAATTATTGCCTAACTGGCCAATATTGCCGGTTTTTCTAAATGACAGGCTGCCAGTTGCATGGCCACAGAATGAGGACAGCCTGGTTAATCTGTTCCCAACCAATTTGCACCATTGCTGTTTGGGGGGATGGGTCCAGAAATAGCTCATGAATGCCTCCTCAATGAAACTCAACATCACATCCAAATGAGGTGAAATCGAGGAATGATGTATGTTCAAAAGGGCCTGTTGGCAGCTAGAGAGCCCAAGGTATATTACAGTGTAGGGAGATGATGTCATGTCAACTAGAAAGGGATGGCTGTTGACTATCACGCCCACACAGTTTTGTTTCATAGGATGGGGACTGGAATGTCTTGCACTATATACCAGTGCTTTGGTCTGGAGGCTGGTTTATCATTAAATGAAGAAGGCTTTATGCCAAAGCTTTTTCTTTCTCACCTTGCATGCAATATGATTTCTGCTGTCCACTGTATGCAATAGTCTGTCACTGGGTGTCTCTTCAGTGCTGTTGGACAAAATAGTTGACATCAGGCCTTGGTAATAAAGGAAGTGAGCTCCAAGTAGTTGTTTGAAGTGATTGCTCTTAGGTCCACACACTGGTTGAGGCTTTTTTTAGCCTTTTGCAACATTTGGTAACAGTCATTTTGTTTATGCTGTACTTCACTGGATTCAAAATGCTATCATCAATTCCCACACTTCCTGTAGCAAAGTGATGAGAAGGTTTATTGTGGATATCCACCCCCCAGGAAATTCCCACTTCTTTCTGCTTTTACGTTTTTCTGGTTCTTGTCAGTTGCCAGCATTTTGTAGTCAACCTTGTCTTTGCTTGTCAGTGGTCGACTCCAGTGAAGCTGGTGTGGCTGTTCCAGAGCGGTGTTTGGTTTGGCCACCTAATGCTGCCAGGTCCAATAAAGCTGATAGGCGACTGCTTGATTCGGCGATCGTGTCGCTGGTCATAACGCCTGCTTTGTGGCATAATCTCAGCATAGCTCCCACTTGGTGTGTTCATTGAGCTCTGTAGGCAAGAATGCTGATGGATGACGGTTTTCTGTATGATGGGCAATATATTAACATAAAGAGTAGGACGGCATTGTTGATGAACTGAATATGAACAAAGATGGCAAGTTAGTATGCCCAGTACAGCAGGCTGTGCATATGCCAGCATGCTTTGTGTGATGTACAAGGCTTTTGGTCAGTGGCACAAGCTGATGCCCTGCATAATGTTCCTTAGACATGGTGCAGATCAGTTGTCAAATTTTTATATATGCCTTTGATTGTTTCCAGTTAGCCCATGCACCACACAGTGAGCGGCTGCTGAAGGCTGCCCGGCTTCTAGCACCATGATGTCCTCCAAGCCTAAGGCGTGCATCCTGGACCGTTCACTGAGCAGAGGCAAGGGTGAAGTGAATCTCAGCCTGTTCGCCCTGCTCTTCGCCGAGATCGTCCACTACACCCACAACCGGGTGCAGTCAGTGTCCGAGCTGCAGAACAAGTGAGCACTCAACCCATATGTATGCCTAGCTCCCTGAGTTAACTATGCAATGGCTGATGTTTTTGCTGAGGCATGCATTCATGTGTAAACAGACAACATTATTGGGTCTGCTTCCATGGATTGGGGTAAATGCCAATGACGTGCAAAGTGTACTATGGCTGCAAAGTGTGCTATAACTGGAAAGTGTATTATTCGTCAGCTGTGTCTTTACATTTAATGAGCAAAAGCCAGATTTCTTCATGAATGCACGGAAAATAATGCATGTTCTGTCTTGGTTGATGTTTAAAGAACTCGTTCTCATCATCTGTTTTTCCCATCTTTAAAAAATTATAGCGTATACGTGCCCTGTCCTATGAGTTACGGTGCAAGAACTCCGGCTCAGATAGCCACGACGCCACCTCCAAGGCGGCGGTTGAACGCTCTCTATGAGCTCTGGTGTGGACCACCGATACGCCACTGTTGCTTTGCTTTGACGGTAACAAACACGCGCGTTTCCGCAGGCTGGCGGAGATGGGGTATCACGTGGGTATCCGGATGCTCGACCTCATCGTTGTTCGAGAGCGGAATCTCAAGCGGGAGACCAAGATACTGAACATACTGCTATTTATTAAGGGCACCTTCTGGAAGGTAGGGCTCCGCACAACGCTTGCGATCTTTCTGGACAGGCCGTGGCCCTCTGTTAATGGAAGATCTTATCTGAGAACCTTCGGATGTTGGTTTGATACAACTGGCGACACTTCACGTCCTATGCGCCAGTTCTGTTCTGTCGATGATACAGAGCTATAGGCGCTACAAAGTCCTCGGTCCCACACTTCACTGTGTAGTCTATAGCGTTTCAAAAGCGACCAGTGCAGCTGCAGCACTCCCATGTTTTCCCCCACAAATCATCGCTTCGCAACGGCACTTCGCAACGGTACGATTCACCGCGCCGCCGATCCACCACCTGAGCTTGTGACGTGCCGCCACCCCGCAGCCGAAGGTACACTGGGCAGCACGTGCCTCCGCCGCGCGCCGTCGCCGTCGGCGCCGTGGCCTGGCCCGACCGGTGACGTCCCCGTGCCCACACCGTCCGCCGTCGCCGTCGGCGCCGTGGCCCGGCCCGACCGGTGACGCCCCTGTGCCCACACCCTCCGCAGACCATGTTCGGCAAGGAGGCGGACAAGCTGGAGCACGCCAATGACGACGAGCGCATGTACTACATCATCGAGAAGGAGCCGCTGGTCAGCACCTTCATCTCGGTGCCCAAGGACAAGGGCAGCCTGAACTGCGCCGCATTCGTCGCTGGCATGATCGAGGCCGTGTTGTGCGGCTCAAACTTCGTGAGTGCCGGCACGGAGCGGAGTCGTCCGAGCCCGTTGGCAGGGCAGGGGAACTGTCATACTGGAGGGAGTCAAACCAATGGCGTGGTGGACGGGGACGGCCCCTGAAAGCGTTAAAGTCATTGTCGCCTCCCGGGGGAGGGGCGGTACGCGAAGCCTCAGGGAGGGAAGCAGGCCTCCTTCCCTTCGCCCTAATTTATGCGCCAGCGGTGATAGGGATTCCTTGCTTTCAGTGCTTCGCGTGTGAGGTGACGATTGTTTTGTTTAAAGCGATCCGCTATGCAATGGCATTAAATGTTTCGACTTGAAAGTGCTCAATGCGCTGTTTGGATATCCTCATCCTCATCAATCTGCCGTGTTTTATCAAGTGGCCTTTGCTCATGAAAAGTCATACACGTCGATGCATGGGTGTCGATTCCTTAAAATGATGGGCCAGATTCGTGGCAGTCATCATGAAGGAACAGGTCCAAACACTTCTCGGGCTTCGTGCCTTATGATCTGGTTATCCATTACATATGCATAGTGTCAGCATTATATGTGGCTACCATGACCCATTTATATGAAGGTTCTCGACACACCAAAATTGCATCGATAAAACATTGCATTTTAGTGAGGATTAACGTTAACGAATTGATGTTTATAGCTGCTAATGTTTAACTCAAAACATAATTTAAGAACGTGATCTTCAGTATTTCCCAAATACACTTAGGCAGATACCCTCCTGTTGATAATCCATTTTCCCGATATTTTCGATAAATACAAATGACGAGCCAGCTGCACGTCTGGAGGACACTTCCGAGCTGTTGTACCTCTAAAGGGGAAGCGACTTTCACCCCTCTCACTTCGAACGTGGGAAAATGAAACACCCGCCATAGCAGTGTCATGCGCAATGCAGGTTGATCGTAACAGCGTTGCGAGTTGAGCTGGCTCTTCAGCTACCATGAGATTAAACTGACGTGTGTACAGTCGGTGCTCAAGAGCTCACCCACGCAGGGGCGTAGCCGGAGTCTTGGTACTTGGGGGCTGGTACACATGGTTGACCAAGCCCCTTCCCCATGGCGGAAGGCCCCATCCAATAATAAAACTCACCGGATATGGCCGTTTGATCTGGAGGGGAGCCATGTCCCTAAAAGGCAGGAGGCACCGATGGATGTAACTCTATTTTTATTTTGAAGCCGTGAAACTGAAATAAGTAGGCGTTAAATCATTGCATTTAATAAACCACATGTGCTATCGATTTGATAACGTTTCAGTAGACTTCCTAATCCGATAGCACTCAGAGGCTGTGCTGGAATTGTTCTGGGTTGTACAGGAACATCGTGAACGTAGATCTTAGATCGAGACAGCGTCGTAAATTTGCATTCACACCAAGATATTTTGGTCTCAGAATAATCACGGTCGTCCAGAATTGAGTAGTGAAGGAATTACGCACCAAAGCTTTGGCCCTGCGCGCTCGCATGTCTTTCAACAAAAACCTGGCGTCGGGCGTTGCAGTCTCCGGAGACCGCGCGGTGTCGGTTCTGCACCGCATGCTGGGCGATGGCCAGCGGGCGGACACAAACGGCAACGCTGCTGGAAAAATACCTCAAACCCTTTAGGATGTAAACTGGAACGCTTATAAAGTGTTCCGGGAGTATGTTTTACTCGTGCAATGTAATAGAAGCTAATTAGCATTTGCAGCACTGCGCACCTGTACTAGAATTCGATGGTTAAACTAGACAAAGCAAGGCAGAATATCTATTTTCGTGATACTGTCGCTGTTTATTGTTTTTTAGAGAACATGCTCAAAATTCGACAGGTTAGATATACGCTGCAGTCCAAATTTTGAACGACACGTTTTGATTAAAAAAACTTTTGGCAGCATTGTTTCACGATGACTGTACTGGGGCGCCAGGCACCACGCCCCGGTGTTAGCTGCAGGGCTCAACGCCGCTCGGTCTCATAGAACCGCAACCGCGGCGATCGGTGTTTTTGTTCCTGAGTTTGTGAACGCGTAGACTCAAAACTGTTTACGTGATTTGTTTCACATGCTGATCCAGAGCAAGGATGGACGCCTCGTTTCTTTTGGCCATTTCACTGTTTACCCCACTGTGATCCGCCCTATTAAACACTGAGGAAACCCCGCACCTTTTCGGAGCAGGAGATCTAGTAGGCAGGCCGATAGGGGGCATATTCTATGTCTCGGTCAGGGGCTTCAGGTTCATTCGGTTACAGCGTGGGGTGCCTGCCGGCTGCCGTGCCGATGACACAGGGGTGGGATCCCTTTCGATGTGCAAGCCCCTACAGGGACACATCATACGTCGGCTGCCTGCCTGACGCTGGAGGCCCCCTGACCGGACCATTTGTCCCCAGGTGAACGGAGGGCCCTCATTGATGCAAAAGGTCCCTTACCGTCGCCGATGTTCAATAATCTGGCTGAAATGGAATGGGGAGCCCTTCGTTTCGGTACCGGGGCCCTGCCTGACAAAGGGCTTTCCTTTGTCACATTGCGGGCTCACATAAACTCTCATTTCCTTTTTCATTGCTAGAGAGCCTCGACCAACGCAAGAGGCCTCTGGCTTTCGGGGATTTCTGGCTTTTGTCCCTGTCCCTGTCTAGCAAATGTTGCCCTGGCCGACACGAGGCCCCTTGCAAACATTGAGCCCTTTTTCAGACTTTGTGGGCCCTGACAAACGAAGAACCCTCATTGCTTCAGTGTTCCCTACTTATTCGAATCGCAGATGCCGACCTTGTCCCTGCCCGATAATGGCTGAATAATGGCCATCAGGGCTCAGACCGATGCGGGCCGACTGTTCAGTGTCGGTGATATTCGGCCGAAATAGAGACCAGGGTGTCCCTAATCGGTGCGAGAGGACCTCCGAGATATTTGATGGCCCAGCCCCGCCTTCGTACCTTCCAATCGGGCACTGGATCGTGGTCCCGAGGGGCCCTTCGGCTTCTCTGCAGGCCCCTCTAACACTGTCCCAGGCCTGACTCGAGCTCTTTGTCAATACCGGATCCGTGTCAGGCACTGTGGTCCCCTGACCGACACAGGAGCCACTGATTGACTAAAGGGTCCTGGCCAATGTAAGTCGCAGATCTCAGCCCTGCCTCTGCTTGCGAAATTTTCCCTATGTCCTAGACCTGACCTGGGGTATGATCTGGTGACGAAGCTTTCGCGTGCCACGGTCGTTAAGACGGCACCATTGGAGTATACTTTCGCAATATAGGATTGGTGAGGCCGATCGGGGAAAACTTCACACCAAGTGCACTAAAAACTGGACACTTCCCGGATTTCGCCAAATTCCCTCTCAACGACGCTATAGATTTGGATTCCCCCCCCCCCCCCTCCAACAAAAAAGGAAAATGCAGCGTGGTCTAATTCGTTAGCTTACCCGGTCTGGGCGAAAGATGTTGTCGTTGGACACCATTATGATTTTGTTTGGCGTCGATTGTCGAAACCAGACGTCAGCAACCGACGTAGGGTCGATGTTATGTGGGTTCAGACGTTGTTGGACGTGCACGGCTTCGGGAGCAAGAGGTGTAAATCGATTTGCGTGACTAATGTCTGCCATGGAAGTCTCGGCTGATGCCGCGAGGCGGGATGCAGGCGCATCACTCCCATTAGGCATGCTGGACACGGCTGGTGTTGGTGGTCATGGTCGGACGAATACCGCTGTCGGTTTGGTCAGCTGGTGTTGATCGGCAGGTTTTTGTAACCGCTTCATCGAATATTCATGTTGAAGTGAAGGTCGACGCATTTCAAGGGTTCCTCCGAATATAGGCGACTTATGACGGCCACGTTGTTTGGGTGCAAATACTCAACTACTTTTTCATTTTCTCATGAGACGTTGTAGCAAAATACGCAACTTGCTCTGGTCCGTACAGCCTGAACCAGCGCTGAATAATTTCAAAACACCCCCACAATAGCACAAAACTTGACCATGGTCAACAATAAGTATAAATCGTGTAGTTAAAAATATCCAGCATGCAGGAAAACAGGGAGAAGCGCAAGTAAACGCGGTACAACCGCGGAGCTTGAAAAGTGTGGCCGACAGTCAAATGCACGAAACGGGGCATTATATGAGTTTCCACTCCCTTTGGTTCCTGTACCTTTTACAGTCTTCCTTAATTTTGATATAATTTCGAGATTCTTTTGCTCATTTCTTACATGTGCTTCATAAAGTTGGTGGTTGGGGCAAAAGTTGGGGATGAGACGTCAGATTGGACATTGGGAGGGGGGGGGGGGGGGGCGGCGGGCAGTGGCCCACCCAACAGAATGTTAATCGGCACCCGTGTGGATGACACGCGGCGTATTACATACGTGATCAGTCAGCAGTGTTCCTGTGTCCATCGGTGCTGTGTCGCGTAAATCAGTTTCCATCAGGCCTCTGCCATCATGTAAACCAGGTCTGATGACCTTGCATAAATCATCCTCCTCCGGCCGGTTAACAATGCCCGCATGTTGAGGCCGGTGGTCGGAGCGCGTCCTCTGACCAGCTTGTCCCGCCCCGCCGTTCCAGCGGGCCAAGGTGACGGCCCACTGGCACAAGGGCACGACGTTCATGGTGCGCTTCGAGAGCTCGGTGCTGACCCGGGACGCGCAGGTGGACGGCCGGTAGGTGCTCACGAGCCCGGGCCACACCGGGACAGCACGAGACGGACCCGGACTGCCCCCAGCAGGGTGCGGAGCCGCGGGCCGGGTCGCGACTCGCGGCGAACTTCGGTCGCGGCCACGCGCGCCGCTGCTGGACACGGTCGCCGTCGGAGCGAGGCCCGCCGCCCGGCGCGGCCGCTGGCGTTACAAGAGGCCGAGAACAGCTCGCCGCGCTGTCGGGCGGCAGCTCCAGGGGCTGATCTGCCGTGTCCGGCCGTCTCGGGCCAAACCGCTGGTGCAGATGGCCACGGCACTGGTCGCTGTCAAAGCGCAGCGCAGAGCTAGTTGTAAAATACTGCGCGATCGTATGGGTCGAATGACTTCAATTCCATGGTCGCGCGTGCTACTCGCATTGTTTTGTTTTTTGTATAATATATGGACCGGTGCCTTGGTTAATACACGAATGTACGGTGCTGGTTGTTGTACGTTCGCTGTGCTAGTGGACAGTCGCGGCTGTCGAGGACAGTGACACGCGAGCCGTCGAAGCGCCAGCTACATCAACGTGCCGCTCTCAATGTGCACAAGTCAAGTGATGCGATCGTGCCAACATCGCCAGAGCCGCGGCCGCGATCCCCGCCGCCAGACACAGGCGCCTCAGCCGGGTATATTTAACAAATCATAATATTAAGTTTGACCAGACGGCCACACGTGCACGGCCGGAGCGGGCGCGGCCCGCGAAGCTGCCCTCGGGAGCTGCCTCTGACTGAGGCGGCTTCACCGCCCGCCCGCCCGCGTGAGATTACGTAACAACGGGAACACCCAGACTGTCGCGGCCCGCCGCGGCCAGGCCGCGAGCAGACTCAACAATAATATCCTCATCAAAGCTTAAGCTTACCGATGCCATACACTCGCGAGAAGTGACCCACATGAGAACCACACACACACGCACACACACACACACAGCCACGCACACTCACCAGCCGTCAGTACAACTGAAAGAACAGGGCAGAGTAGTGAACTCGCCTTCAGCGCCCCCGGGCGGGGCCCGGGGCGACTCATATGTTTTAATTCTATCCTACAAAACTACCAAAATTACAACGGAGGAACGTTAAACACACAATCCAGGTACATTTGATAAACTCAGGTAAGCTGTCGACAAGCCGGGCTATTAAGCTCAACACAACCGTCTGGAGCACGGGACGCAAGCCTCACCCGCCGACGACCCCGGCTCAGTACCCGCGAGATGGCAGTCAGGACTGAGCGGCGACCGCCGGCTGGCAACGCCCAGCCGACTGAGCAACAAAGCTCAATACAAGCCTCTTAATCAAATACTGATTAGTTGAAAATCCCTTCGCTCCACCGCACGGTCCGCTCCCGACTCCCCCGCCCCGGGGCGGTGCCGGCGCGCGGCCGAGCGCCGCTCGGGACCGGGGAGCGGCCGCCCGCCCTCTGGCGGCGGCCGGGAGAGACCTGCCGGAGAAAGGCAACCACGCCCATCACACTGGCGCACGCGCGCGACCCCGCTCTCTCTCTCTCTCTCTCTCTCTCTCTCTCTCCTCTCCTCTCTCTCTCTCTCTCTCTCTCTCTCTCTCTCTCTCTCTCTCTCTCTCTCTCTCTCTCCTCTCTCTCTCTCTCTCTCTCTCTCTCTCTCTCTCTCTCTCTCTCTCTCTCTCTCTCTCTCTCTCTCTCTCTCTCTCTCTCTCTCTCTCTCTCTCTTCTCTCTCTCTCTCTCTCTCTCTCTTCTCGCTCTCTCTTCTCTCTCTCTCTCTCTCTCTCTCTCTCTCTCTCTCTCTCTCTCTCTCTCTCTCTCTCTCTCTCTTCTCTCTCTCTCTCCCAACCACTGCGGCGACGCCTACCACAACCGCACACAGCTCGTAAGGGTTAACAACCGGCAACCGCCCCGCCCATGCGCCGACAACGCAGTGCTCGTTCCCCGCGCCGCCTCAGCTGCGGGGTTTGTCTTGCCGGCCGGTGCCTGTTGGCCGCTGCGCCTGCCCCCCGGGGCACGGAGGGGGCAACAGGGCAACGGGCACATGTCCGGCTCGCGCCGGCCCGCCGGGCACGCCGCCGGCCGCCGCCGGAAAGATCGGAGCACACCGCCGCCGGCCACTAGGACTCGGAAGTGAGGATGTACTCCTTGATCTGCGGAGGGCAGCGCAGTTTTTGTTGACGCTGGGACCGGGGCCGGGCGCCGCAGCGCAGCCGTAGAATCGAGGACGCCGGCCGATCTGCTTCAGAGTCCGCGGGTTGGTCTGCAGCGCGCGCAGAGCGCTGGCCAGCTGCCACTTAATGGGCGCCAGCGTGGCCTGCGTGTGCAGCAGCCGCAGACACGAGTACAACACACTGTGGTCCATGCATAGGTAGTAGAGCCGGATGATCCGCTCGAAGCGGCGCTCCGGATCGAGCAGCAACTCCTCTCGCCGGATCAGCCGCTGGATGTAGAAGTAGAGCACCTGGTGTGACGACTTCTTCAGGAACACCGACGACTGCGAGTGGCAGATCTTGGGCTCGTTGCTGGTGCTGATGCTGACGTTGGGGTCGGCGCCGTGCTGGAGCAGCGTCAGCGTCAGGTCGCGCACATGGCCCAGGTCGGCCGCGCTGCGTGCCGACGACACCCATGTCGATCACCGACAGCAGGATGTGGTGCGAGCGCTGGCTGAAGCGCACGTTCGGGTCCAGCCCGTGCTGCAACAGGATGACCAGCAGCTGGCGGATGAAGTCGAACGCCTGCGCCTTTCTCGGCCTCACGGCTCAGGGCGATGTTCTCCGAGGCGGTGAACATGAAGCACGTGCAGCGGCGTCAGGTTGCTGCGCGACGAGCAGTTGACTTCGGCGCCGTGCTTGCACAGGATGCGCACGCAGTTCAGGTAGAAGATCTTCATGGTTGTGGTTGAAGTGGTTGTAGCGGGTCCTTGTTGATCAGCGGCACCAGACACACCATTCAGCGGCACCGAGCCGTAGCGCCCCCACCACGTTGGGGTTGCCGCTGTTCTGCAGCAGCATGTCCAGCAGCTCGTACCTGCCGGTGTTGACAGGGGCGCCGGTCAGCACAACCGCGACAGCGGCACGTGAAGAGGCGGCACAGGCCACACCCAACACCCGCCCGATCGAACATCGCCAACCGCACACACGCATGTCAATATGTGGGGCATCAGCGTGGGGCTTCATGTGCACGTTTGAAAGAAACAGGGCCCAATACAAATACCCACCCATATTGTCACGGGTTGGCCCATCGCATGGTAACGGGGTGTACGCCAACGGCGCACGGCAAACACAACACCTTCAAAAGGGTTCCACTAGTACCGAGCTTCTACAGCCAAAGCACTGTCCACATTCTCTCCACCGTTTTCTGGCACCTGAACAGTCATCAGTCCTTCACACCACATCACCCTCAGCTTCCAACCGCCCGGCCAGCCGAGTCCGCCAGCGCCGCCGCCCGTCGACAGACCTGAACTCCCAGTCGCGAACGTGGCGCAGCACGCAGGCCAGCGCGCTGTTGCCCTGCTGGTTGATGCTGGGCGCCGCACCGTTCTGCAGCAGGTAGCGCACCAGGTGCAGCGTGTCCCACTTGGTCCAGGGCGGCGGCTCGTGGTCGTAGCCGTACCGCGCCTCCTCCAGCGCGTACCTGCGCCCGGCCGCCACGCGCGCGTTCAGCCGCGCGGCCGATACATGGGTCCCACGGCTGACCAATGGGCCGGCCCACCACCCGCCGCCCGCAAATACGCCACGATAGGTGCCAGCAAGACGAGACATCAACTTAGTGCAAACATAGCTGAGAGGTAAAAAGAGAAGCTTCACACAGCATCGAGTATGTCGTTTCCAGTACCATATTCATGGTTGGGGGTGCTATTTTTGTCTTAACCATGCTAGCACACACTTTAAGGGTGCACACTTGTGACGACCCAGAGAGCGCAAACGCTAGGAGCACTGCAAGCGATGACGTACCTTGTCGGCAGTACTCGACATCAAACATGATAATGACCACGCCTCCATACAGGCAAAGATTACGAGCTAGCACACTCGTTTCTGCAGGATATTCATCCCTGACGTGCAGCGGTGTTTTACCCAATGTTCACAGCACACAGCAAGTACACGCGGCGCCAACACTTGCCAGCGCCGCCACCCAGATGGGGAGCCGACACAGGCGGGGCTGGAGCGTGAGCGGGGCCGACACGCGGCCGCGGCCGGCGCCGCTCCGACCCCCAGCCGCTGACCTGACGATCAGCGCGTGCAGCGGCGTGTTGCCCAGCGAGTCGGGCTCATTGATCAGCTCGCGCAGCCCGTGGTCCAGCAGCAGCTTGGCCGTGCACAGCGTGTCGCTGACGGTCTTCTTGCCAAGCAGGAACACCTGCCGACCGAAGACGGCTGGTGAGGCCGGCGACGCGGCACCCGACTCCTCCCTCCAAACAGCCGCAGGCAGCCGAGTCACCGCCCAAGGAAGGTGACACAGAACAGAAACCGCGTTTCGTTGGGCGCACATGCGCGCGGTTGCACCAAAACTAGATAGAAAGAATACTGACCACGTGCAGTAGCGTCATCTGTTGGGTGGACGTGCGAACCAAAGTGTCGGCACCGCACGCTATGAGTCGCTCCAGGAACTGGACGTGGTGCAACGCTGCCTGGTGGATCGGGTAGTATTCATCGTAGCACTGGTTTATCTCGTCCGACCTGCAGACGGAAGACGGATTGCCACTGGCGCCAGAGTAACCTTGGGAGTGGGTGATACAAGGCCTGACTGAAGCACCCCAGCTATACACCTGTCGATAGGAAAGGTCGGCGATGAGAGCAGCACACCTGCTCAATTGGTTTGCATCAGCCGAATTACCCCAGCCATTCAAATTTGGGAGGCCTACGCAAACAAGATCACCATCTGTCGGCACATTTGCATAAAACGGACCGAGCAATTAAAAGAACTCACTGGCAGCCTCAAGAAGCCTAATTTAAGACGTCACTCGGTTGCTCCGTCCCCGCCTGGCCAGTGGTCAGCCAGAGCACGTACCTCTCGGAGACCAGGTACTGGACGCAGTTCCAGGCGCCCCGCTCACAGGCGATGTGCAGCAGCGGCCGCTTCTGTTGCCACGGCAGCCAGTGGTCTTCCCCCTGTTGGGTCAGCAGCTCCAGAATCTCCACCTGGCGACGTCACGCGCAGATCACACGACAGCCCCACCTCTCCCCACAAGTCAATAATCCAAACTATCCACCCGAGCCATCACAAATGGCATAGAATACAAAACCGAGACCAAACGAGCACCAACAAAGGCCCTCCCTTTGTGGCGCATGATGCAGATAGCCTGTTAATGTACAGCAGCACTAGCCAGTCTCGTCCCTGCCTACACAGCACCGCTGTCGTCCTGTCGCTCTGTCTGCGCTGTCACCCCCAGTCTCTGTCGTCAGCCACGGGCCCCTCACCCCTCCCTGTCGTCAGCCGCCGGCCCCTCACCTCTCCCTGTCATCAGCCCCGGGCCCCCCACCTCTCCCTGTCGTCAGTCCCGGGCTCCCCGCCCCTCCCTGTCGTCAGTCCCGGGCCCCTCGCCCCTCCCTGTCGTCAGTCCCGGGCTCCTCGCCCCTCCCTGTCGTCAGTCCCGGGCTCCTCACCCCTCCCTGTCGTCAGTCCCGGGCTCCTCACCCCTCCCTGTCGTCAGTCCCGGGCTCCTCACCCCTCCCTGTCGTCAGTCCCGGGCTCCTCACCCCTCTCTGTCGTCAGTCCCGGGCTCCTCGCCCCTCCCTGTCGTCAGTCCCGGGCTCCTCACCCCTCCCTGTCGTCAGTCCCGGGCTCCTCACCCCTCCCTGTCGTCAGTCCCGGGCTCCTCGCCCCTCCCTGTCGTCAGTCCTGGGCCCCTCGCCCCTCCCTGTCGTCAGTCCCGGGCTCCTCACCTGGTCGCCGTCGATAGCGTAGTAGACGGCCGATTGGAGGCGGTCGCTGCTGCGCTGGTCGGCGCTACCCGACTCGAACGGGCTGCTGTACTTGCCGCGCTGCTCGCAGTTCTGGTTGTGCGGGCCCGGCCAGCACATGCGCGCCTCCACGTCGATGCGGGCGCCGTGCTTCAGCAGCATCTCCACGCAGTCTTCGTACCTGCAGGAGCGGGCAGCCACGAAAGATTAGTCGCCGCGCTAACGGTGTGGGGGCATTGGCGTGGACACCGTGGGGCCACAGACAACAAGACATCCCCAGAGCAGGCGAGCTATTTAAACACTTTACCACACCGTCGACGATGTCCACGATTTAAATTCACGCGCACGCACCGAAATAACGTTTCAGCGCTGTGTCAAAGGCACAAGCTCACAGGCTGGCTAAGAATCCCTCATAACATATGTAATCTTCAAAAAAATACATTATAGGCCCAACATTCCATAGCACAACTAAACAAGTGCAAAAGCGATAGGGATATCTCATATCGCTACGACACGCAGCAAGTATATAGGATCTGGACGTTCCATGACCATGCGATCGGAGCGTTCCAGACACCACTGACCATCATCAGACTCAGGTCCGACCAGATAACACCAGACTGTGTTCCAGACACCACTGACCATCATCAGACTCAGGTCTGATCAGGTAACACCAGACTGCGTTCCAGACACCACTGGCCATCATCAGACTCAGGTCCGACCAGATAACACCAGACTGCGTTCCAGACACCACTGGCCATCATCAGACTCAGGTCCGATCAGATAACACCAGACTGTGTTCCAGACACCACTGGCCATCATCAGACTCAGGTCCGACCAGATAACACTAGACTGTGTTCCAGACACCGCTGACCATCATCAGACTCAGGTCTGATCAGATGACATCAGACTGCGTTCCAGACACCACTGGCCATCATCAGACTCAGGTCCGACCAGATAACACCAGACTGCGTTCCAGACACCACTGACCATCATCAGACTCAGGTCCGACCAGATAACACCAGACTGCGTTCCAGACACCACTGACCATCATCAGACTCAGGTCCGACCAGATAACATCAGACTGTGTTCCAGACACCACTGACCATCATCAGACTCAGGTCAGACCAGATGACACCGGACTATCGGCTACTCGTGTCCTGCTCTGGGTCCTCTCGCCGACCGACACGTAAGACTCAGTCTGAAGGTCAGCTTTCTCAGGCTCACAGACACGGTGGACTCCATCCGAGGACCAGCTCGACCGACGCCTCCCAGATGGCTGGCAGGAGGGGGTAGCCGGGGGACAGCAGGGAGGGGGAGCGGAGGCAGCACCAGAGCTCGGCTCGCGCCCGCACCAGGCCAGTGAGCGCCACTGACCCCTTCAGACAGGCGATGTGCAGAGGCAGCGAGCACACGCCCCTGTTGACGTCCAGGTTCCGTGACAAGATCCACCGCACCATGTCCAGGTTGTTGATGCCCACACACTTCTGGAGCAGGTTATACCCCTCCTCGTTGTGCACTTGCAGGATGTTCTCTCCCTGCCGCATGCACGTGGCAGCATGTGAGTGAACAAGAAGTAGCAAAAGCAGGACGATGTGTGAGGGCTTCTGCCATTCACGATGTCACGGCTGTCAAGTCCCAAACCAAAAGCAAAACAACCACATTTCGCTCATCTGAAGACCACATCAACAACGTGGCCCCCCCCCCCCCCCCACCCCCCCCCCCCCCCCCCCCCCCCCCCCCCCCCCCAATGGCAGCGAAACAAAGACCAGAAACCAATCCAACTTAACAGGATGCCAAGACGAGCCCAGGGC